TGAGGCTTGTTGAGGTGGCCATCCAGAAGATTTTACTATCTGACCTTTGTGAGTTGCAGCTGCCTCTGAGGAACTCACCATGTCTTGCACCAGGCAGTATTTGGAGAGACTAGCTTGAGGTGGTTGAGAATGAGAGAGAGAGAAAGCGAGAGAGAGCGCAGGTGTCTGTCAAAATAAATATGAGACAATGAATGGGAAAATGAAGCCTGAACTATGAGGATATGGTGAAAAGGGAGGAAAAAACCCACTACCTCCTATAATTTACTGGTTTATGTTCACTTACTGAAGCCACTGGCACAATTTAGAGTACTATAGATACAAAATAAGCCTTTCCATTTTTGAGTTGTTAATTTCTCTGGGTTCCATAGCAATTGAGTAATTAATACCACCTATAAATGGGAAAGTTGGAAATAGATAACTCAGCATGTTGGAATTTTGTTTGTTATTGTCTTGCAGGACCTGTTGCTTATGAAAATATGAATTATGATATGCATGGATTCTAGTTTCTGGGGACTGGAGCCACAGGTTCTCATGGAAAGAAATCAGTGTGAGAAACTGGTTATAATTTGCATGCTTTGTTTGCCTCTGTTTGGAACGTGGCTCTCTGATCTTCAATTGAATGTTCCTGTAGGATGGGGTTCATGCAAAACTGTTGATGGGCATTTGTTTATGGGACAGGTTGCATTCTTTTTTCATCTAATCTGGAAGGTACATTTGGATCTCATTAAGGTTTCTTTGAGGAAGTGTAATGTGCCTAAAACAAATACCTCTTTGAAATGTGCCTTTTCTTCAGATGCTGTTCTGTGGTTCTTTTGGTCATCTGGTTGGACAAAACCTGAAATATACCTAAATCAGAGTGAATTTTTTTGTTTTGTTTTGTTAGGAAGACAGTTGCGTTTTGGGTGGGTGCTGGTAAATAAGAGAAACTTGCAGGCAGGTCTGCAAAATGGTAGGAAGTGAGGCTAAGCAGCTTTTTACAGGTGTCAAAATAGCACTGGGTGAGATGGCGATGGAGATGGGGCCAAGAGTGGGGGTCACGAGGTGTCTCTTCCAGTCCCAGTGGGGTGGACCCCTGATGCCAGAAGGTTCTAGTGTGAGTGGCCATGTGGACAGTGGCCCTACTCTTAGAGGGAGAAAGGGGAGGAGGTGATGGTGGTGGCCATGGCCATGTCTGAGGTTGCAGCCTTGTGTGGAACCTGGGTCTGGTCACTGACATCTCCATCATGAACTGCATGGGAATTGTGCAAAACAGCAGTTAACAACTATCTGCATGTTCAAGTGTTACTTCAAATGCTAAAATGGTTTTACTTTGAGGACAAATAAATGTACCATAAAAAAAATTATTTAGTAGTAAGAAAAACTCCTTGTTTTTATTTAAAGAAATCCCAAACATCAAGTATTTCTGTACTGTAAAAAACTATTTGTTTAATGGCATTTGAACTGAAAGTGGGTTTGTATTTATCTAAAGATAAGAATGTTTGTTGTGTAGATGTGTCCAAGCAATATGCAAGACACTGTGCTAATGCGTAATTAGCAGGAAATAAGTCATGTCTGCAGCTTTTTTTATATTCACTCTAGACTCTATGATTAATTTAACTTCTAAAATCAATGCATTTCTGCATTAGCCAGTTGAGGATCTATTCTGTTCACCTTAGTTCAGTCCAGTTAAGAATTTATTTTTTTTTTTTAGAATCAGTGTTAGTTATGATGTACTTAGACTTTCAAAACAACAGTAATTCTGTTGTTAACTTGGAGTGTTGATTACTCTCATTCTTAAATATGACCCTTTCTCATAATATGCCATAAAAACTTTTCTGGCCTCAGAAACATGTTCTGTATTTAGAATTTGTCTTTTGCTGAAGTTGAGAAATGGAAGCAGCAGTAGCTGAATCTTTCAAGGATTATTGAGAACTGCTGGAAGTGGCAAAAGATCAGCTGATTTAATGAAGATTCCACAATATTTAAGGCGCTGAGGTCTTGCCACATTGTATGTAAAAGTGGACTAAGAAATAATGAAAACTTAATGATTGCAGCTACATGTAAAACCCCAGAGGTGCAGTCAAGATCTGAAATATAAATATTCTTCTCTTACTTTTATCGTCACTACCAACCGCAAATCCGTGTTGATTTCAGAGGTCTGGTTGAGTTTCCTTGGATTTGGTCACTGTTGTATTTTGTGCCGTTAGAGAAACAATTTATTTTATCCAGGGTGCTGAATCACTGGTGCTTCTTCAGCTTCCCTCTCTGCTAACTGTTGTTTCCCTGCATTTTCTTTCTAGTAAGAAAAAGTGAATGCTCATTGGTGATTTAAGGCTCTCTGCAGTCCCGCTACCCAAGTTGGTAACGCATTTCTTGCAGTTGTGAGGATGCAGAGTAGGAGCAGGCAGGAAATCAGCCTTTCTTCTGCTCAGGGTAGAAGATGGTTTCCTGCTGGAGAGGCAGGACCGTGTTTAAGCCATACGATCCCAAATATTCATATCTGTGCCAGCTGTTTTAGATGTGGGAAATGCATGTGCTTTGCAAGGAATGAGACCCACTTGGTTTCATACATTAAGTTGAGACTGCTGAGCCAAGTAAATGAGAACAGTAAATCTAGATTTTAATTCAAGAAAGTTTTAATGTCTTTGGATACTTTAAGTGGTGTAAAAGCAGTTTATTTCTTCTCTGTTTTGTGCACGTGTATTTTGCCATATCATTAATTTAAACAATCTGGATGTAAAATTGTCGTGGCAGTGTGACATTCTTCGTAAAATTCTGTGGGTATTTTTCAGGCAGAAAAAATGCTGACCATTTTGTGGTTTTTTGAAAATCATGCGTAATTATGTCATTTAACCACACAATAAGGCTTTCTGTGGTCATGTTCTAGATAAACAGGAAAACTCATTTTTTACTTTGTTTTTGTTGCAGAACTGTCTTTCTTATTTTTAGTACAAAGTTGTTTGATTATTTTCTTCAAAAATAAACTACAACATTATCTGACAGGAAAAATACAACACTAGCAGCTTCCAAAAAGCTCTATTTCAGCATTGGTGCCTGCTGTAGCACATTTTCTCCATTTTGGGAAAATACAGTGTTTTATGTCTGACACGCCTGCATTGCCAAGAAAGTGATGTAAATACAAGCCATTTGCATAGTTCTGAGATGGATGATTTCTTCATTAAGGGCCCTTCTCCAGGGGAATTCACAGGAAAGCTGAGATGAATACAGTAATGGTAGGATGTGGATGCGGTTGGGTTAAAGGACATTGGATCCCAGGATAGAGGCTGTCTTTCAGGAATTAAATGGCCCCAAGTTGTGGTTGCTTCATCCCCTTCCAGTGAGCGGCTGCTTCACTCTAAACAGAGCCTTTGTGTGGGGGTTCAGTGCTGTGCAGTAGAAGTCCAGTAGCCTTGCACTGCACATCAGTTATCTTAGCAGTCCTAAACATCCCAAACAGTAAAACTGGGTAACAGTTTGCCAGCTTATTCAAGACAAAAATTGTTCTTGGGTAAGACATCTCATACTTATTTCTCTACCTGGAGTTTTTTTTTCTGCCTTTGCATTACATGGTGGTGGGAGATGAAGGGCAAGGGGAGGTTTGCTCCATCAGAGTCAGAGCTGCATTGCACACGTGGCCTGCAAGGCTGGACAGACTCAGACCTTTTCTGAGCTTACCCTGAACATTGTTCTTCTTGATCCTGCTTTGTTGACCAGGCTCTTGCCTGTCCTTTGTTAAAGAAAAAGGTGGTATTATGGGTAGCCTAGGATGCCTCTACATGGACCTGAGCATCCAGTAGAATAAGCAGATGTCTCTATCCTGGCAAAGTTGTGTGTCAACACAATATCCACTGTCCATACTTAAAGAGGAATGGAAGCAGATGGGAAACCAAAGGCAACTGTTAAAAAAGAGAAAGATGGTAGTAAAAAGGGACTTACACAAATCTTAGGGCATTGGAGGAATTGGGGTGGAATAAAACAAACCCCTAAGTACTCAGTGCAGAGGAAAACGGACGGAAGGGTTTGTTTCATCCATTGGAGGAAACTCTCCCCATTGATTCTGCCTGAGAAAGCTGTAGCTGTGTCATTTGTGGGAGACAGCAGTAATTCATGTAAGGGGAGATGCAGTTTCTCAATTTTCCTCAGGAAATCAACTATCCAACTGCTGCTTGTGGAAAAACTTGTCAGAACTTATCACCCTAAGCTATGAGAAGGGCTGTGACATGACAGTGAGAGGTGTCTCCTACACTGGACAAAGGGCAGTGTGGATTTTATTGCCCGAGACCTGTGCTCTGATACAGTGCTGGTAGGTTTGGTGTGTGGTGGTTTATTTTTTTAGCTAGTCCTCCCAGCCTTTCTGATAAGCATATCAGCAGACTTGGGCTGCCACCACCCGGACTGCTGTGCACTAGTGCCACTCTATGATACTGGAACGGATCCTGGCACGTCTTTACTTAGATTTGAAATGGTTTTAGTCAAATGTAATTGTACACAACTAATGCTTTTTTCTTATGAAGGAGGGTCATAGGTGAATGGATTTTGTAATTTCTTAAGTGACAAAGTGAAGTCTTAATGTAGAATTGCTCTGAAGTTTATTAATTATTAATTCTGAGCTTTGAAGGCTATAAGTAGTGTGATAATTTAGAGTTCATTGCTCCAAGTGCCTCTACAGTACATAATTCATTTCTAATGCTGTATGCAAGAAACTGATCTCTTGAGTTTTGATTGCTAAGATGGGGTTCACTACCCTTGAAGAAGCAGTGCTGTCTGATACGGAGATTTTTATCAGCAAAACAACAGAGGCTTTGTACGCCAAGCAGCAATTGCCTGGCAGAGCAGTTGGTGTGCCAGGTTTTTTTTAGATCTGAGTTTTTTGGTCTAATGTTGGTGGTGCAAATCAGAGCTGTTCTTATTTTTAGAAAATGAACCTAAAATCACTTGTGCTTGTACTACAGTACTTCTAGAGAACTTTTCAGAATGACGTGTTTTAAAAGAATAAAAGTTTCAGAAGTGTCATATCAGAAATAGTGGCAAGAGCAACGGAGACTTGACTCCATTGGAACATCTGAAAGCTAGTTTTGCCATTTAACATTAATACTTGATACTGATCCTGCTTGAAATGGATAAGATTTTTTTTTTCTGAGAGCTTTCCTTTTTTTTTTTTTTTTTTAATTCAATGCCCTTATGAGGCTTGTATTCACAGAAAAGGTGGACTTCTTTACATGCTAATACTGTAAAATGAAGCTGTGTTCTGGACAGTATTTTTGTGTGTCACTGCTGAAATCAGTTTGACTTTGTTTCTGTTTTTCTGGATGTTCCATTTCTCTGCATGTTCTTGCTTTTTTCCTCAAAGCTCTTGTCCCTAATGTTGAAGATAAAATCTGAAGTTAAGTGTTTAGTGGGTATCCATTCAGAATTTGTTTGATGTGAATTGGCCTGCTCTTTTAGCTGGCAAAAATTAGTATGGCATGTGGTCTCTTAGAGTGTACTAAGTGAACTGAGAGCGCCTTTCTACTCAAGTGTGAGTGTTTTGATTACAATGGGTTCGCTTTGTTTTAATCCGTTTTTGAACTTATGTTAGGTAGTGCATTCTGAAGTACATGGCAAAGTGTGGGGGTGTTGTCCTTAAAACTACTTCTGATTTGACAAAAATGGTAACTTCTTCCAGAATCCTTTTTCTTCATTTTGCTAGTTGTGTTGTAAGAGGCAAAAACAAATAAATGGAAGAAAATGTATCTGGAAAACATTATTGAAACTGCAAAAAAGGATTTAGTGGAAATTGATCTGTATTGTGGCTTCTGTCAACTTGTAAACTTACGTCTTCTTTGTGCGAAACCTTTAAATTATGGAATATTTCGCTCTCAGGAGGCTGTCTCCCTGAGTTCTTTACCCTCACATTGAAGACACTTCCTGTTGTCTCATTAGAATTGTTGCAGCAGAACAAAAAAAGTGAATTCTTTTTGAAAAATGTAAATGGATGAGAGAGGGGGTGGTTGTCTTGAAAACCAAAGCAAAACACTCTTAAGGTCTTCCTTGCTTGCCATGGGGAAAAAAAAAAAAAATGAAAAAACCAAACCAACCAACCAAACAAAAAACCAAATGCACACAAAAACCCCAAACAAAGAAACCAAAACCATCCATGCAACTGTTTTTCTCTTACAAGTTATCTGTAAAGAGGAATCTGTTTGAAACAGGCTTACATATCTAAGTTGTATACTCTGTGGTAGCTAATCAGCTGTTTCTAATGGTATTTCAGTGGGAGCTAATATTGGACAGATTTTTTTAAAGTATGGTGAATGTAACTGTTTTATCCTAAACAGTGAATTAAACTCTGATCTTGCAAAAGTCTGCATTTGTGTCAACTCCACTGAGGTATCTTTTGAATCGGGTGTGCTTAACTGTTACCCAGGTTAGATGTACGTGTTTGCAGTGCTACAAGTTTTTCCTTCACCTATAGCTGCTTGGTTTATTGTCTTACAAGGGAATGATAAAATATGTTTTTATATCACACTCTGTTAATACTATGTAGTTGAGCTTAGGGTACTCAATAGACAAATGCATTCCATCTTCAAGTTCTGGAATAGCATAACATTAATGGAAAATGAAATGTTTGAAGAGATGTTTGCATGTTAAACCCAGTGGCCTGAAGGAGTTTCATGTCTTTCTGGGTGTGTGTCATTTTGATGTTAGGCTCCTTACAATTTTGCTGAAAGATGCTTTGCTAAACAGGAGAAATCCAGAAAGTCTTATGTTAATTTGCTTTTGTTTTTGCTCTTTAGACAGTATCCCGTTATAAACTAAAATCACACATTCCTGAGTGTAAACTGATCATGTTCCCAATGGAAATTTCAGGAATACTTGTGGCTACTTTCAAAATGTGGAAATCTATTTATATTTTTTTCCACTTGTTTTTCTTCCTAGGTTTTGGCACTGATTGCATTCATCTGCATAGAGACCATCATGGAATGCTCCCCTTGCGAAGGCCTTTATTTCTTTGAATTTGTGAGCTGTAGTGCATTGGTGGTTACTGGAGTTCTGTTGCTTATGTTCAGTCTAAATCTTCATACAAGAATACCACAGATCAACTGGAATCTTACTGTAAGTTCATACAAATGCTCACTCTACTTGAAGTGCAAATCTGTTTTTAAATTTGGTCTTTGAGTTTTACTTTGTACAGATTTTGTATGAGTGTGCTTTATGCTGAGTAAAGTATACGTTTTGCTTATATTTATTTTGAATGCTAACAGCAGAATGAGCTTTGAAATGTAGCAAGGTTGAATTATAGAATCATAGAATCATATTATATTAAATAGAACTGAAATTGTTGTCTGATAGATTCTCTTTGGAAGGAAAAGTTCCTGCTAATGCCAGCAATTACTGTTTGTGGATGAAGTGGATAAAAATGCAGCCTGTAGTTATTAAATTTTAACAGATGCTGTATTTACAGTAGCCTGTTTTCTCTTAAGCTTTTTTTTTTTCTATTGGAATAGTCATACTGCATATATTTTCTTACACAGATCAATACAGTCGTTGGGTAGTATAAAAAAATAGTGCTTTTTGTGAAAATCAGGTCCTTTGAATGACACAAGCAACTACTGAACATTGACTGGCAATGCTTAATGTGTTCTCAGATACAAGGAGTTTTAGGAAGAGAACTGCTGGCAGTGCACATTCCTTTTGTAGAAGTCTATATTTCCATACTGTATTACCAGTTAAACTTTCAGATTGGGTTGCATAAACACGGATCACAAAATCAACATGTAAAGTTACTCTCTAGCAAAAGATCTGTCAGCTACAAGGACAATATTTATACCAACTTCTTTTGACTGTACAGATATATATGTGCCTGTTTTCTGGTTTATTTTATAACAGTAATTTTGTGAGTACTCTTGGAGATCAGTCCCAGAGGTTTTTAGACTTGTGTGATATTTTAAAAAATTTGTTTTAATGTAGTTTATTAATGTTGCAATTTGCAGTAGGTGTTTATAAGCCTAAATGCCTTGTCTAAAATGAGACTGGAATCAGGTGATGTGTTGTACTCTGAGGTGGTGTGATCTGTTGAGGAACTCTTCCTAAGAGTACTTGCTAGATAGATCAGATGGACTGAGAACTGTGATTGGGAACTGTAAGTAGGGGAGATCCAAGTGGCTTGCAAAACAAAATCAGTGGAACCACTGGAACGTTACTAGGCTGTCTTGCCTTTGCTCTTTTTGTCTCTATTCTGCCAGTATTGTCATCACTTACCTTCGTGGCAAGCTAAAAAGCAGCAGCTGCAGAGAGAAGGTACTCTCTGCTTCTGTTGCTGGCTTGGTAGTTTAACGAGCATCACAACAGCCTGACAGCTGATCACAGCAATTGGAGACCTTCTCTTCATGGCACACGCTTCTGTACATGCTAGTGGGGTGTACCAGAGCATGATAACAGCATATGTATAACTGCATCAGAGTCACATAAAATACATGATGGTTTTCCTGGTGTGATTTGACTGAGACATTTTATCCAGAGACCACAGAGTGGTATGCATGGTGTCCGTGACTGAGTTGAAGTTGTATCTCTGGAAGAGATTGTTTAATGACTTCACATACCCTTGGGCTGTGTTTTGTCTATACTTTTTGTTCTGTCCTTGAGCCCTGTGGCACCCTTGCTACCTACCAGAACACTTGCACAGTATATTGAATGCACGCAAGTGCAAAAGCCTAAATGCAGCTCTCTGCCTTTCCCCCAAACAGTGCAGTAGATACCAGTATGTAGCTGGTAGGTCCTTTCAGCCATTCTGACTTCTTACAATATTTGAGTGACAAAAATGGCTGCTTTGAGTGCAGTGTTATTTGTTCCTGTATAGCACTCTGTTAGAGATCTTTAGAGAAAAAGAGGACTTTAAAATCCAACCAGTTGTGGTGTGTGTGTTTTATTTTTTTAGTATTTTTTTTTTTACGGCAATTGTCACACTTGGAACCCCCTACCTAAACAGCATGGAGCAGTGTGACGTGGTTGGAGTTCAACATGAAGGGCCAGTGGAGAACACTGCAAATGCTTTGGCTTTAGTTCATACTGCCAGATCAACAGAGGTTGAATGAAACTCTCACGATCTGGCAAGTCTCATTCTTTTAATTAAGTACTGAAGATAAAATGCTACTTCTATCATTATACCAAAGATCTCTAACAGAAGTGAGAAGAAAACTGGAAGCTTCTGATTTCCATTTACTGATGAGACCAGCCTTTCTGGTATCACTCACTGATTTTAATAATCATTAGTCTGATAGGATGGTTACTGTGAAAGGAGTGTTGGGAGTATCTTTATTATTCACATGGCTGTAGTCTGCTGTTGTGGGATTGAAGGCTGCTGATAGAACACCTGGGAGATTGCTTGGCAAAGTTAATAGGAAATTTAGGAATGTGGAGTTGTGGCTGACAGTTTTTGTAGCTCATTTTGGCATTTTAATCTTGTATATGTATAATCATGCATTGTTTGCCCCTTTGATTACTTAATATTTTCCTTTGGTTACTTTGATAGTTTTGCAGCTTCTGTATGTAACAGTAATTTCAGGAGCTGCTTTCTGAACAACAGACATTCACGCTCGTGAATGTTTTGGGAGAAAGTCAATCCTGCGTGTGTTAATTCATTAATACACATGATTTAGGAAAATAATGGGTGTTTCCCTTGTGAAAAGTCTCAAACTTTGCTTTTAGAATCTGTGAGAAGAAAAGGCTGTTACAGTGCTTGGAAGAATTTAGTGGTCTTAAATTTAGAACAAAGTCTTTCTTTAAACAGAGCCCTCAGTCAGAAACTTTCTAGGAACCATTTGAAACCATTTGCTTTCCAATGATCCTACGTATTAGAAAGTGCCAGGCCATAAACTGCTATTGTCCAGAGCAGGATTGTTTCCTAAAGGAAACTTTATTAAAATTAGTATTCTTTCTAATGCATTGTGGATACTGTCTAATGTCCACTATCCCTGGTTGGAATGAAAATGTGCATGGGTATAATCTAGTGTCTAACAGATATGCAAATTTACTTATTTTTAAAATATCTATTTTTAGCCATTTGGGGGAAAGAGCTTTTGTTTTGATCCTGATTAAAGACTTGCTAACCATTTAAATATTTTCCCAAGGCAAACATAAAAGAAACATGGATGTGGTGAGGCCAGAAAAACCTTCCTTGGGTGTGTTGGAAAGAGGCAGGTCTGTTACAGTCAGATGAGGGAACAGTCACTTGTCTGTATTGTGCAGCACTATGAATATTATGCAAAAATGCAAAAGCTGAGAAACCTGTTTGTGGAAATTTCCATTTCCTTTATGCTTCACAGCTCAAAGGGAGCCTATTCTGCAAGGAGACCAACAAGTGGCATAGGGGAATGGGTAGCAAACCACAGCAGGGATTCCTGTTTAACCAATGAGCTGCTGCTGCTTTGACATGTTTGTCTTCAGAGTTAACTAATAAATGAATGTTTGCAATGATTTTGTATTTGGCTAAATTATAATTTTTTTAATTATTATTCATTATTTGAATCTCATGTGATCTACAGGGAGAGGTTAATATCTTGCAGCCAAACCGTGTGCATGACTTGGCCCTTGAGAGGTGCAGACAGATAGGAGAGCTAACAGAAGTGTATGTAGTAGCTTTGGTGTTCTGGTGAATTTGAGTGTGATTTGACTGGCTTTCTGACAGTTCCTGCCACTGCAGAGTGGACAGTAATGCTGAGGTACATTTTTTTCAGTGCTGACAACTGAGATGACTTGGGGAGGGGAGAAGTGATGGCAAGTAGCTGAGAATACTGGAATTTGACAATGTTTCTTGGATGAGAATTTGTATGATGAGGGAAATCCAAGTCGTTACAGATGTGAGGCATTGCATAATCAGCCATTAGAATGGACTATTTATGTCTGTGTGTAGGAAGAAAATCATCTAAGAGATTATGATCACTGACTTTTAAAAAAATGTTTTTTAAACCGTCAGTGGAGCTCTGGTAGTGTGTTTTGTGTGTGCAGTTCTGAATGCAAAGTTTTTTAGCTTAGAGCAGCCTTGAAGATGAGGCACAGCACAGACTTACCAGCATTCTGCCAGGCTGCTTGGCCTGGACTCCGTTCCAGGGAAGCACTGCTACAGGGAGGAAACATGAGCACTCAAGTTTGTCTCTTAGAAGCTACAACAGATCAGTAGTTGTGTTTTGTGCTGCCTGAAAACTTGTTTCATGATATTCCCAGGATTGTGGTTTGTAGTGTGTGTTTGGTTTTTTTTTTTTGTTTTTTTTTTTTTTTTTTTTTTTTTCAGTTGTTGCAGTGATGAAACTTTATGTGGAACCAACTGATATTTGAAGTAGTTGGCAGAAAACTTGATGCACTGCAAGAATAAGAAACTGCCTTATGCCATCCTTGTCTCTGAAGAGTGTAATTACAAAGCTGCAGTTGAAAGTCCTTCACAAGGCAGTCTTGACTTTTTTTTTTTTTTCCCCTAATTATTTCCCCCCCCCTCTGTTTTGAAAAAAACCCTTAGTTTTCTTTGGCTTGCTTAGCCAGGAAGAATTTAAGTAACTCATCCTTCACTTTCAAGTTTACTGCTGTCAAAATAGCAATACCTATTAAGGATGAAAATTATTATTTTATAAATAAATAAACTCAGAATTAATTTCCTCTGGGTTAGTGCTCTTTGTGGACAGTTCTCATTTGGTGCAGCATGATGTAAACAATGCATTCTTTTGTTAGAAATGCAAACGCATTTTTAAATATGAGAAATATTGCATTGTTTGGTACTTATTGCTAGTAAGGTCTGTAGCTCTGTGGCAGTAACTGCCAGTGTGCAGGACTGCTTATTGGAAAAGGCATGCAGGAAAAGCATTGAGGAGCAGCTAAGGAAGAGCTGAGAGGGAAATAGGCAGGTGGTCTTTGACAAACCAAAATGAAATGAGGATCATAGAAGCATTCATTCAGGAATGTGTTTTGTCATTTACAGCAGAGTTACTACATCTACCAAAGTTTCTACTCCAACTCAAAAATAGTTAGAAATAAAAATAAAATTGTATGAATTTTGGTTTTGAATCCACTTCTTTAATTTCTTCAAAATCATAGCTTGTTCCTGATGTTTCAAAGAGCTAAGAAAG